TAAAAAAAAGAAAAAAGAATATTTACCGTATCTACTAATTAATAGTTCATTAAGTGTAGCTGTTGGAAGCAACCTGCAGTTGTCGAAAATCAGTTTTGTTGAAAATTCTTTTTGCGGACTAGTTTCTCAAGCACCCAACCCACTTCCAGGAAAATGTCTTTTGGTTTTGCTTTCACTTGTATTTCCTTTGTGATGTCATTTAATTACTCGTTTTCCGTTTTGCAAAGTGCAATTATTTCGTTTTCTTTTTTAAGTTCTCATTATTTATGCCAACCCATGATAAACTACAGTTTTGAGTTGAGAATGGAAATTAAATTATTTAAATAAAAGGAATATGATATTCAGAAGAATATATACAGGGTAAGATAAAAAACTGCAACAAAGTCAAAGCAATACTTTTTATATATTTTTTTTTAATTTTATTGAATGAAAGCATAAAATGTTGGAAACAGCAACAAATTTTAGAATAAGTTTAGATATGTTCGAATTGGTCACCTTTGGCACGAATTATGACCTCCAAAATTGGTACATCGTAATATTATTGTCAAACTTAGATCGAGTTCGGAGATGGACTCAAACGGTCAAAATTTGGAATAATCAAAAAATGTGATGTAGGCGTCCGTTTGTCTTCAAATTACACACCTCACAATAGTTTTATTAGCCCACGGTCTGGTGTGAATATGGAATATAAAGGTCCACTCCTTCGGGTACCTTCCCCATAAAGCGTCAAAATTTAGAATATTCATGAAGCTCATAAAACACGAAATTAACCTCCAATTCCATTTAGACTTGGTACATCTCAATATTTCCATCAACTCAAGATCTGTTATAAAGATGATAGAGATCGGGCCATTTCTTTTGCTACCTACCTCACATACAGGGTTGCCCATATTCGACGGACCCATCTGGCAACGCCATAACTTTGAAGCGTCTGTCTGTTTGACTGGTGCGCACGATAATTCTCGACAGGAGTATCCGATTTAATATTATTATCAAACTTAGATCGAGTTCTGAGATGGGCAATATCGGTCCACTCCTTCTCGTACCACCCCACAGAACTCCGAAATTTTCAAAGAAAAAATTCACACATCCCATTATTTCTACTAAGACAATATGTGCTGTGAAGATGGAATATATCGGTGCACTACTTCTGATACCTCCCACACAAAGGGTTCAAGATGTTGAAAAACAAGACGCTTAAAGAATGCGAAATAAGCATCCAACTCTCTTCAAATTTCACACATACAAACATTTTTGCTAACACAAGGTCTGTTGTGAAGATGATATATTTCTGCCAACGCCTTCTAGTACCTCGCCCACAAAGGGTCACCAGAAATCTGCTATTAATATGTGATATATCGAAATTTATGATATCGCATAAAATTGCAACCAATATTTTTATCTGTATTCGATGAAGTATGCGTGTGGAACACTTCATTCGTCTATATCTGTTACCTCAGGTATATATCCACATTTTCCAAAAAATTGCATATACCTCATATAAAGTATAGGAAGTAGTCGATATGGTCAAAATCTGGCACGTTGTAATATTTTTATCAGTCTTGGGTCAGATACGAATTGGTCAATATTGGCCAGCTGCTTTGGAATCTCCCCCATAAAGGGCCAACAGTTTGAATAATCATAACTCAAGGCTGGGGGTATACATCTGTCGGTAAACCCGACCGATACAAATTTACTTCTTTTTTTTGGAAAATTTTCAAGTTCCTTCAAAATAGTGGAGGGTATTAAAAATTCGGACCGACCGAACTTAGCTGCTTTTTCACTTGTTAGTTCTAATTTCAGAATTTGCTGGATTTCCCCGTAATTTAAAAAGAGTTGCTTTTATTCTCTTAAATGTGGCTTTGAGTGGGAAATTCCCTGGAATTGAAATGATGAAAACTTTAGTTTTAACCAGTAAAGATAGTCCGAAAGTCGGACGGGGCCGACTTTATGATACCCTACATCACTTTGCTAATTTAGTAGAGCTCCACATAACAATTAAAAGTTTTTATGGGAGAATTCAATCATACACGCTATGATTATATATATAATTTAAAGTTCAAAGGACCAAATATGCCGAAATTTTCAAAATTAATTGAAATCAGATAAATATATATGTGGGAGCTATATCCAAATCGGAACCGATCTCGATAAAATTTGGCAATGATTTTTCTGAGCTGTATTTGATATATTTCCTTGAATATCGTTGTTACGGAGTGCATATTACGGCTGTGGAACACAAATATAACAAATCGGATGAACAGTATATATGGGAGCTATACTATATCTGAACCGATTTCGATCAAATCGATTGGCATACTTATTTTCAGGCCCAATTTGGTTGTATGTGCAAAATTCCATACTATTCGGGCTGATATTACACGTTTGGTGCACAATAAAAGGCAAATCGGACGAAGATATACATGGGAGCTATATCTAAATTTTTGCCGATTATCTCCAATTTCAATAGGGTTCGTCATTGGGCCAAAATGCGAACTGTACTTTGTTTACAAAAATACATGGACATACGGACGGACGGACGGACATGCATAAATCGACTCAAAATGTGATTCTATGCACATCATCAAAAGGAACTATGGGTCTATCTCGTTTCCGTTTTGCCTGTTACAAACAAATGCACAAAGACATAATACCCTGACCACCTAGTGGTATAGGGTATAAAAATTATTAGACACCAGGATTTAGGAAATTAAAACAAGTAAAAAAAGCAGTAAGTTCGGCCGGGCCGAACTTTGAATACCCTACACTATTTAGAACGAATTTGGAAATTTTCGAAAAAGATAGCATTCGCCAAAAAGTCTATTAGGGTCTGTATGACGTGTACCTACATAGGCATTATTTGTCACAAGTCATTACTATTATTATTCAAATTCGAAACTTGAAATAAACGGTGAATAATGTACCTAAAATCGTCAAAATACCGAATATAGGGAGGTACTGATATATGGGGTCTATACGAAGACCTGGACCTACATAGACAATTTTCTGTCACAGGTTGTAGCTTCCATTACCAACTTCAAATACGACATCTCAAACAAATTCAGTGAGTATTGTACCTAAAATCGTCAAAATACCGAATATAGGGAGGTACTGATATATGGGGTCTATACGAAGACCTGGACCTGCATAGACAATTTTTGTGTCACAGACTGTAGTCTCCATTACGAACTCTAAATACGTAATTTGAAACTACTATGGTGAATAATGACGCTAAATCATAAAAATACCGAATATTGGGAGGTACCGTTATATGGGGGCTATAGGCAGACGTATACCTGCACAGACGATTTTCTGCCTTAGGCTATAGTATCCATTTCGAATTTCAAATACCAAATTTGAAACAATTGCGGTGAATAATGTCGCTAAAATCATCAAAATACCGAATATCGGGAGGTACCGTTATATGGGGACTATATGAAAACGTGGACCTACATGACCCATTTACGAACTTAACCTGCCTACTGGAAAAATAAACATGTGTGCAAAATTTTAGCCTTCTATCTCAATTTTTTCGAAAGATAGCGTGATTACAACAGACAGACGAACAGACGAACAGACAGACAGGCGGACAGAAAGACAGACGGACATGGCTAAATTGTCTTAGAATTTTACGCTGATCAAAAATATATATGTATATATATATATATACTTTGTTGGTTCTGACATGATTATTTCGAGGAGTTACAAACCGAATGACAAAATTAATATGCCCTCCATAGTATGGTGGAGGGTATCAAAAGAAACTTTCTTGCAAATTATGCTGGTATTTTAGTGAGTTACAAAATTCATTTCTTCATATAGTATCCTTTGCTATCCTTTTTCTTCTTTTTTTTTTTTTGTTGCTAAAAATGCATTAGAACCACCGTAGATTTTATTTAGACTTCCACCCTGCCCAGAATGAAATGTAGAACAAATGCTGAATACGAAAATAATATTATTTTTAACTTTTTCCTAGAGCAAAATCTATTTTATTCAATTCTCTTTTGAGTTTTTAACTAACTATTGTTTACTTTATTAATTTGATAACCATTTACTTTAACACCAGTTTATATTATTAAAAATTTATTACATTTTAAAGAAAAACAAAAAACAAATATCTTAAGCGAAAACGTTTTGTATATGAAGTTTTTAAAACAAAATTTAAAAAAAAAAATGTTGGCTTGAAATGTGTACAGAAAAAATATGTTGTGTTGCGTTCTCGTTACTTTTTGTTATTTATCGTTCCAATTGAGATAAGCCGAAAGAGAGTTTTTCCAAGTTGCAATTGCTGTTCGTTGGTTGGTTCGTTCGTTCGTTATGTATTTTTTTTCGTTTAAAAATAATTACTGCAATTCTTACCCTTCACCATTTAGTGAAAATTAAAAAAAAAAAAATAAACTACAGAGCAAAAAGCAATTTAATAATATTTGAAAGCAAAAGCGTTGTATTCGTTCGTTCGTTCGTTCGTTCGTTCATCTTTTCTTTTATTTACAGTTCTGTTATCGTTAACGTTTAACCTTTACCAAATTTACCGTTAAAACGTTTGTTGAGGTTTTTTCTTTCTTTCTTGCGTTCCTCAACACCCAATCACTTTGGATAAAATAGAAACGTTGCCACAAACCAAAACAAAAAAAAATAAAAAATAAAACGTTGTAAAAAATTTAGTTTTGATTTTATTTGTGTTGCGTTTTTTTTTTTTTTTTTTTTACTTTTTTTCTTAAAACATAAACCGATGTTACCGATTTGGTTGGTTTTCTGTACTTAATTACCAGTTTCCGTTCAGTTTTATGGTTCATACTTACCCAGAGATTTTGTGAAAGAAAAGCACCCAGTTTCTTTTTTGAATAAATGTTTGCCTTTTGCCACAGATCGAATGTGTTATTAATTTGAATTCTCTTTCGTTTTCTGTTCGCTATTCTCTCCTTTTGGTCGTTTCGATGCTGCCGTCGCCACTACCACCACTACGACACTACCACCCATTGCAAATCCATCATCAACAGGGCGAATGCGTTGTACTGAGGGATCGGAAACTGAATATAGCCCCAGCCATCAAAAAACAGGTAAGTTTAATTATAAATAAAATAAATAAGAATAAACATATATGCACCTATGAGTTTAGAAAAAAAACTATTTTTTTACACCCTCAGCCATGTGGCTACAGACTCCATAAGGAGTCCCATAGCGGTTTAAACACTAAATATCTTCGGAAGAAATCTGTCTCATTACATTTGGAGTCGATCGGATCTTCCGTCTGATTTCGTCGAAATTTGGTCTTTCGTAATATTTTACCAAACTTATATCGAGTTCGGATATGGGCAATATCGGCTCACTCACACACAAAAGCAAAAAGAGTATCCGATTACGTTCAAACCCTGAACAACTTAATATTTGTTGGGATGAGATAATGAAACGATTTCACTCCTTCTTGTATCCCCCCAACAATTGGCCAAAATATTGAACAATTAAACTCTCAAAAAATACAAAACACACCAGCGATGATTTGATCCTTACCCACAATTTTTGACCCTTTCTACCCACTCCATTCGAAGATAAATTTTTAAGAAAAAAAAAACTAGTCAAAAAGCAGCTATGTTCGACCGGGCCGAACTTTTAATACCCTCCACCAATTGGAAGGAACTTGGAAAAATTAAAAACAAAAATCCGAAAACTACCTCTTAAATGAAAACCGTTATATGGGGACTATACAAAGACGTATACCTGCTTACGAATTTTTTGTCATAGGCTGTAGTACCCATTACGAACTTCAAATACGAAATTTGGAACAGTCCAGTGAATAATGTCGCTAAAATCATTAGAAATATACGAAAACATAAACCTGAATACGTTTTGTCATAGGCTGTAGTACCCATTACGAATTCTAAATACAAAATTTGAAACAACTACGGTGAATAATGTCCCTAAAATCTTCAAAATATCGAATATCAGAGGGTAGCGTTGCATGTGTGCTATACGATATCGTGGACCTATATTGGTATTTCTCTTTCTGGGGCTAAAGTGCTTAGAAAGAACTTCTAATATAGATTTTTAATCAAATCTATTGAAAATCATCAAAATACCGAATATAGGGAGGTAAATTTATATGGGGGATGTACGATATCGACCGATATATGCAATACTCTTCCAGGGGGTAACGTTCTCAGAAGGATCTCCTTTTATGGATTTTTAGATTTCATTGAAAAAATGAGCTACAATGTCGTCTTATATTTTTTCCCTGATCAAGAATATACAGGGTGAGATAAAAAAACTGCAACCAACTTCAGACTGCTGTAATTTCTAAGCCACTTGTTCGACAGCTGTTAAAATTATTCCAGTGACAGCTCATTATATTGTTTACAAGCGTACAAAAGCATTTTGGTGAGAATTTTCCAGAAAAAAAGTTATTCGTCATGGAATTCAAGCGTGGAATATATTTGGCTGCAAAGCCACAAGTGGCTATCGTTAGAGCACTCAATGTGAATAAATCTTTTGTGTCTCGTACCATCGCTCGTTACCGTGATATTGGTAGCGTAGCCCGACGTCAAGGAAGTGGACGGAAGAAAACAACTACATCAGCAGAAATGGTTCGAAAAGTAAAGAAGCGACTTGTCAATTATCCATTCGGCAAATATTGAAAAACGAGCCATTGAAATTGCAAAAAGTGCAAGAACTCAAAAGAGCTAAAGAGTTTCTTCGCTTGGCCGAAAGTGGTGAACTGCCGAATTTGGTTTTCTCCGTCTCCGATGAGAAAACATTCGTTGTCCAGCAGTTTGTAAACAAACAAAATGATCGTGTTTACTTGCCAAAGAGGTCAGCTGAAAATGTGCACCTTCGGTTGGCCACCAGAACTCAAGTGTCGGCCATTGTGATGGTGTGGGCCGCTATAACAGCCGATGGTCGCTCTCCGCTCGTATTAATCGACCGTGGCATCAGAATAAATGCCGAATACTATCGCGCACGCAAACATTTTGACCGCAGACCTTGGACAATCCAACAGGACTCAGCACGCTCCACCAAGAATGGTTACAAAATGAGATTCCTCGCTTCATTTCCAGCGCGCAATGGCTACCAAAATACCAATCCGTTGGACTATTGTGACTGGAGTATTTTGAAAAGCAAAGTAGGCACTGAAAAATACCAAAGTGTCGATCACCTCAAGCAAGCGCTTCGCCGGGAATGGGCAAATATACCGCAGAGCGACATTCGGGCAACGTTTGACAGTTTTACTGGTTTCATTGCCAAAGGTGATCAATTTGATGCTATTTCCGAAATTTTTTGCTTTCATTCAATAAAATTTATAAAAAGTTAAATAAAAATTATGGCGTTTGACTTTGTTGCAGTTTTTTTTTTATCTCACCCTGTATAAGTCAAGGGTTTGGTATAGTCCCCATATAACTGCACCTCCAGATATTCGGTATTTTGATGATGTGTATCATACATTTCACCGGAAATGTTTCAAATTTGGAAATTGAAGTTTCTAATGGGTGCTACATCCTATGAAAGAACATTGCTCAAACAGGCAAACTGCTCAAAGACTTCGCATAAGCCCCATATAACGGCACATCCCTATATTCGGTATTTCAATGATTCGAGTGATATTATGTAATGGAATTTTATCAAATTTCGTATTTGAAGTTCGTAACGGCTGTAGCACCGCCTTTGACCGAAAATTGCATATGTAGGTCCACGTCCCCGAATAGCCCCCATATAACGATACCTCCCGATATTCGGTATTTTGATGGTTTTACCGAATTTATTCACTGGAATCAATTAAAATTTAATATTTAAAGTACCTATTGGGTATCTCAGCCTATGGCATAAAATTGCAGACCTCATATAACAGTACCTCCCTTTATTTGGTACTTTGATGATTTCAGCGACATTATTCACCGGAATTGTTTCGAATTTCGTATTTGAATATCGATATGGCCTATGACAAAAATTGCATATTCTGATCCACGTCTTGTTTTTTTTTTGGAAAATTTGCAAATTCCTTCCAAATGGTGGAGGGTGTCCAAACGGCTGAACTTTTATAAAAGTAGCAAGGCATATAATGGTTTAACCAATTTCTTATTTTTATATGTAAATGGTTTAAAATAATAAACGTTATTCCATTTTTCTTCTTCCCAATTGCAGTCAATTGTGGCCACAAATGGTGCTGTCTATTACACAACTACACCTCCAGCCCCCATCAGCAATATGCCGATTGATCAATTTGCCGCCGCTGTTTATCCACCAGGTAAGATTGGAATTTTGTGATATATATTTTTCTTCCTATTGTTTTTGAACATATATTAATTACTTGTGTTTTTTATTTCAATATAGCCGCCGCTACTGCTGCTGGTATGCCAACACTTTACCCACCTTCAATGCAATATCAACCATTCTATCAATATTACAGTGTGCCAATGGTAAGTAAAATAAAATGTAATTTAAGTATACCTACTGTGGCTCATTTCAGAATGATGTCAAGTTTTCAAAAGTTGACACGATTACATGGCATTGAAATAAAAGAGGCATCTTGACTAACACAAATAGAATATTTTTGGCGGAATATGAATATTTCCTTGTATTGGCTTCAAATAGAAAAGGCGAAAAACTTTTTGGTATTGACGATATTGTCTAAATTCTATATCAGCCTCAAAAAGTTTCGTTCCATAAAGGAAATGTCCATTTTTATGCCCTCAGACATATGGCTAGAAAGGGTAAAACGTGCCTCAGCGAAATAACAGTTTTAGACCCCAGGTCTCTTTGGGCCAAATTCGTTTCAGGACGTTTGGAGTAGATCTTCTGACGATGTCCGTCTGTCTGGCTGGTGCGCACGATAAGTCTCGAAGGGAGTATCCTTCTTGGTCCAAACTTAGTACATCGTAATGTTATTATCAAACTTAGTCGAGTTCGGAGATGGGCAATATTGGTTCATTCCTCCTGGTACCTACCCCTCAAAAGGTCGAAATTTTCAAAAAAGTATATAAGTATAAGAGAAAGGATGATATTAATTTGTTCCAACTTTACAAATCCTAATATTTGCATTAGTGCTAGATCAGGTGCGAAAATGGACAATATCGACCCACTCCATCAAGTACTTCCCCAACAAACGATCACAATTTTGATTAATAAAATGTGATAAAAAAGTCAGATTGTCTTCAAATTACTCACATCACAATATTTATTATTAACCCAAGGTCTGGTGTGAAGATTGAATATATCGGTCCACTCCTTCTGGTACCTCCCCCACAAAGGGTCAAAATTTTGAATATTAATGAAGTTCATGAAACACATTAACATCTGATTCTATTCAGAGTTGGCCCATCTCAATATTTCCATCAACACAAGATCTGTTATAAAGATAGTAGAGATCGGACCATTTCTTCTGGCACCTCCCCCAGAAAGGGTCAAAGTTTTGAAAAACCAAAACGATTATAAAATCCGAAATAACCATCTGGTTCTCCTCATATTTCACACATTCCTTTATTTGCTACCAACACAAACTACGCTGTGAAGATTGAATATATCGATCCACTCCTTCTGGTACCTCCCCCACAAAGTGTCAATATTTTGAATATCCATGTAGTTCATGAAACATGAACATCATAACATCCAATTTCATTCAGTCTTGGTACATATCAATATTTCTGTCAACACAAGATCTGTTATAAAGATGGTAGAGATCGGATAATTCCTTTTGGTACCTCCAACACAAAGGGCAAAAGTTTTTGAATAACTAAAACTATCATAATATCCGAAATAAGCATCTGGCTCTCTTTATATTTCACACATCCCATTATTTCTACTAATACAAGATCTGCTGTAGAGGTGGGATATATCGGTTCAAAGGGTCAAAATTTTGAATATCCATGAAGTTCATGAAACACCAAATTAACATCCGATTCCATTCAGGCTTAGTACATCTCAATATTTCCATCAACACAAGTTTCGTTATAAAGATGGTAGAGATCGGATCATTCCTTCTGTTACCTACTCCACATAGGGTTCAAGATTTTGAAAAAACAAAACGCTCAAAGAAAGCAAAATACGAATCCAACACTCTTCAAATTTCACACATACAAACATTATTGCTCACACAAGATCTGTTGTGAAGATATCTGCGAACTCCTTCTGGTACCTCAACCCACAAAGGGTCACAACTTTCAATACTAACTTGAGAAACAAGTCGTCGATTTTTTTATAACTTGCTACATCTAAATATTTTTCTCAACCAGAAACTTAAGATGAATATGGAATTTATGATTTCGCATACAATTGCCCATGCCAATAGTTTACCTATTATTTAACATTTTACCTAACGACCTGGTACCTCAGTCACATTTTAACATTTTCTAAAAGAGAATAATCAATATAATCCAAACCTGGTATACCGCCCTATTTATATCATCTTTATTTAGGTCCGATACGAAATATGCCATTTTGGCCCATTCCTTCGGAACCTACTCCATTTGAATGATCATAACAGGTGTCAAAATATGTTTAAATAATCGAACATTAACTGAGGGTATACATCTGTCGGCTAAACCGACTGATTTTCTTTAACTTGTTTTTATTTAGGTCCGATACGAAAAGCGCAATATGGGCCCATTTCTTCGGAACCTACTCCATAGAAGTCAAAACGTAATTAAATAATCGGACATTGGTTGAGAGCAAAACCGACTGATATTTTTATTAACTTTTGTTTTTTTAAATATATCAACAAGTATTTCTATATGGACAGCAAAAGAGGCCTGGATTCACCCCTTGGCTGAAGTTTTTAAATTGACCCTGGTCAAGATATTTTCTTTAATTCGTAGTGTGCAAATTTGTCACCTTTTGAAATAATCCAAATACTTAATTTTAATGTTGTATGAAATAAGTTTTGAATTTATTTTTAATTTTTTTTTTTGTTTTCCTTTTTCTAGAATGTACCCACCATTTGGCCCCAGAATTATCAAGGTAATTACAATTTATCTTAATTAATTTGAAAATATTTCACACATATGTACCTTAAAAACTAGTACTAATGCAAAAGAACATAAAACAAACATACATACATATGCACATAATAATGTGAGTGTGAATACAGTGATGTACAAAATTGCTGAAAAAAAAGTGAATATACTCGAAATATGAAGGATGTTGTTCATAAACTGTAAATTTGACATTGCAGCGTTTTTTTTTTAAATTGAAATTTTAGTTTTCAATTACAAATGTAACAATAAAACATCTATAAATTTTCCACATTGGCATAGCGAGCTTTTGGTTAGTTTTCACATCGTTTGAAAGTCACATGGAAAGAGATTTTTTTATTTATTTATTTATATTTTTTGTTGCAGACTTTTAGGCGCGCCAAAATATAAACTGTACAATGCTATATAGTATACATAAATTATATTTATATTACATTTACACTAGGAATATATTAAAATATACTATACAGGGTGAGATGAAAAATCTGCAACCAACTTCAGACTGCTGTCATTTTTAAGCCACTCGTCCGACAGCTGTAAAAATTATTCCAATGACAGCTCATTATATTATTTACAAGCGTACAAAAGCGTTTTGGTGAGATTTTTCCAGAAAAAAAGTTATTCGTGATGGAATTCAAGCGTGATAGTGTGTTGTCTTTAAATTTGGCTGGAAAACCACAAGTGGCTATCATTAGAGCACTCCAGCATTTAAATGTGAATAAATATTTTGTGTCTCGTACCATCGCTCGTTACCGTGATACTGGTAGCGTAGCTCGACGTCAAGGAAGTGGACGGAAGAAAACAGCAACATCAGCAGAAATGGTTCGAAATGTAAGGAAACGGCTTGATTGAAACCCGCCTCGCAGTGGCCGAAAAATGGCTTGTGAGCTGGACATATCGCAATATTTCATTCGGCAAATATTGAAAAAATTAGCTCGGGGTAAAGCCATACATAGCCATTACATAGACTCAAAAGAGCTAAAGAGTTGCTTCGCTTGGCCGAAAGTGGTGAACTGCCGAATTTGGTTTTCTCCGTCTCAGATGAGAAAACATTCGTTGTCCAGCAGTTTGTAAACAAACAAAATGATCGTGTTTACTTGCCAAAGATTTCAGCTTCGGTTGGCCACCCGCCACCAGAACTCAAGCGCCGGCCATGGTGATGGTGTGGGCCGCCATAACAGCCAATGGCCGCTCTCCGCTCGTATTAATCGACCGGGGCATCAGAATAAATGTCGAATATTAACGCGAAAATATTCTGGAGGGTGTATTAAAGCCTTGGGCACTCAAACATTTTGGCCGCAGACCTTGGACATTCCAACAGGACTCAGCACTCACCACGCAAGAATGGTTACAAAATGAGGTTCCTCGCTTCATTTCGAGCGCACAATGGCCATCAAAATCTCCGGATACCAATCCGTTGGACTACTAAGTCTGGAAAGCAAGGTTGGCACTACAAAATACCAAAGTGTCGATCACCTCAAGCAAGCGCTTCGCTTCGGGAATGGGCCAAAATACCGCAGAGCAACATTCAAGCAGCATGTGACGGTTTCATTGGCCGTTTGAAGGCCATAATTCGTGCCAAAGGTGACCAATTCAAACAAATCTAAACTTATTCTAAAATTTGATGCTACTTCCGACATTTTTTGCTTTCATTCAATAACATTTTAAAAAAAATGTAAAAATTATGGCGTTTGACTTTGTTGCAGTTTGCTTATCTCACCCTTTGTTATAAAGCGTTTCCTTTAATATAAAAAAATTGTGTGAAGCGCCTTAAAGTATGTTATAGATTACTGATCATAAATGTTGAAAATATAGCTTGACATATGACCTTTACATTGTGTGCATATTAGCCTGGAGATTTCTGTGGGCAATTTTTGATTTGAAATTGTAAATGCGAGTCTGAAATAAGAACGTCAATAGAGGATGACATTACATAGCGTTGCAATTTTGAACAACACTGTATTCATACACTCACACACCCTCACATAGATAACAAATTTTTCTTTTCGTATTTAAATTTGTACCAATTCTCGTTTTTTGTTACATTTCTTCTTGTGTTTTTGTTGTACTTGCGCTATGCTATCTGTGTAGTAGCTTCACAAGTATGTTTATAGTTTGTGTTTTATACGTTTGATTTATACACATAGTCTGATAATCCATTTCTCTGTGGATATGGTTGCCTTGGGCTTTCTGAGGTATTGGTTTTGTATTTATTTTTGTTATTATATAAATGTCTTATGTAAAGAAAAAAAATGCTTCTGGCAATTTGATGTACTTTTAATTTTTGACAAATGCATTTTGAATTCGGGGAAATGCTAAATTAGGATGAAATCAGTTTCAGGGCATTTGGTGTTGATCTATCGATGGCCGTCTGGCTACCTTGTAGATCCAGATCATGTATACCCTACATAACTATAATTTTTTTTACCAAAAAGTTTTCGAAATCTTTCATTTTGAAGTTTACCGTGGAGGATATTAGTAAACCCATTGCCCAATGTTTCTATCCAAAACTGTTTCAACGTCTCCATATCTAAACACCAGAAACCAACAGTGACCTCAATATCAAATTTCACAATTTCAGCTCTATCCCTTCACCCAATATCAAATTTAGTAACATTTAGTACTCATAGCCAAAACAATCTCCATTCTAGACGCCAACAGTGATCGAAAAATAGTACTATTTAGCACTTTTCGAATAATTATAATATGCATTTGCATAACCATCTACATACCTCAACCCCAGATACCAACAGTGACCTCATTGTCGAATTTCAGGATTTCCCCTTTTCCTATGTCACCAACAGTGACATCTATAGCATATTTTCGAATTTCAGCCCTATTCCTTCACCCAATACCAAATGTAGTACAATTATAGTATACATTTACAAAACCACCTCCATATCTCAATTCCAAATATAAACAGAGACCTAAATATCTAATTCCGGGATCCCCGCTCCATTCTTTCATCCAATATCCAATGTAGTACTAATTTGTACTTTTCGTACACTTTCGTAAACCACCTTCATAACTCAATTCCAAATATCAACAGAGACCTTAATAACAAAATTCAGGATTCCAGCCCTATCCCTCGACCTAATACCAAATTTAGTACCATATAGTACTTTTGGTACTAATATAGGACTAATCTCAAACACATATCAACATAAATATCAAATTTCATAATTGTATCTCTATCCCTTTGCCCAATACCAAGTTTAGTACTATTCAGTACTTTTCGTACACATTTCCGAAACCACCTCCATATGACCAGGCTGCACATGAACAGCGATCCAAATTTAAGATTTCAAGCACTATTTGTTCAACCAATACCAATTTGTACCAAATATAGTACTTTTCGTGCACTTTTATTACACATTTCCAAAACCATCCTTTTATCACAAACCTACTACCTACTACCATCAATACAAAATTTTAGACCTGTTCCAAATTTAGTACAGTTTGCATACTTAGAACACATTTTCAAAACCACCTTCAAATATCAAACATACTTTCCAAATTTGATTCTCATACCAAATTTCAAGTTTTTAGCTCTATCCGTTGACATAATACCAAATGGTAACATTTTAGAAGTTTAGTACCGTTTTAGAATTTTTCGTGACCTTTAAGTTCGAATTTCCAAAAACTCTTTGTTATATCTCTACTGCACTCCATCAGTGATCCTTCATTCCAAATTTTTAAAACTACCTCCATACCTCAGTCATACAATCCCATAAAAATTTTATTTCGGAATTCCAGTCCTATCAGTTCATACAAGTCCAAATTGTACCAAATTTAGTACCATAAGTACAAATTATCAAAGCTTCATCCATACCCCCCTACACTCCCACAACGATATCAATTCCAAATTTCAGGATTCCACAATTATTGATTCGCCCAAATACAAATTGTACCAAATTTAATATCTGTAGCACAGATAAGTAGATATTCTGCAAAACTACCTCCATCATACAATCCAATAGAATTTTTTTTCCCAATTTCAGGATTCAAGTCCTATCGTTTCCCTAGAGTCCAAATTGTGCCAAATTTAGCACCATTTAGTACAAATAAGTACGAATTTCCAAGGCTTCCTTCATACCTCAATCCTACACTCCCACAGCAATCCCAATTCCAAATTTCCGGATTCCACCCCCAAATACAAATTGTACCGAATTTGGCACCATGTATTACAGTCCTGCAATGCAATAGGAATCTTTTTTTCCCAAATACAGGATTCCAGGCCTATCTGTTCACCCAAGTCCAAATTGTGCCAAATATAGTACCATTTAGTACACATCAATCCCAATTCCAAAATTCAGGATTCCACCCCCCAAATACAAATTGTACCATATTTAGTACCACGTAGTACAGAGAAGTACGAATTTTGAATAATTACCTCCATATCCCAGTGCTACAATGCAATAGAAATCTTATTTCCAAATTTCAGGATACCATCTCTTTTGGTTCACCCAAATCCAAATTGTACCAAAATTTAGTAATCCAATAGAAATTTTATTTGAAAATTTCATAGTTGCAACTCCATAGGTTCTCTCAAAATTTAAATTATACCAAATTTAGTATCATTTAGTACACATAAGTACGATTTTCCAAAACTACATACATGCCTCTGTCCTACAATGCAATAGTAATCTTATTTCCAAATTTCAGTATATATTCGGATGAACAGTATATATGGGAGCTATAGCTATATCTGAACCTATCTTCACCAAATTTGACATACTAGCTTCTAGACTCAATTCGGTCGTAAGTGCCAAATTCCATCCCATTTGGACAAATATTAGACGTTTGGTGCACAATAAAAGGTAAATCGGACGAAGTTATATATGGGAGATATATCCAAATCCGAATCGATCTCGATAAAATTTAGAAAAGGTATTTCTGACCTGTATTTGATGTACTTATTTCCCCAAATATTGTTGTCACAGAGTGCATATTACGGCTGCGGAGGACAAATATAACAAATCGGATGAACAATATATATGGAAGCTATAGCTATATCTGAACCGATTTCGATTAAATTTGGCATACTTATTTTCAGACCTAATTTGATTGTATGTGCAACATTCCATACTATTCGGGCTGATATTACACGTTTGGTGCACAATAAAAGGCAAATCGGACGAATATGGGAGCTATATCTAAATTTTTACCGATTATCTCCAATTTCAATAGGCTTCGTCCTTGGGCCAAACAAATGATTTGTGCACAATTTCATCTGGATTGGATAATAAATGCAAACTGTACTTTGTTACAAAAATACATGGACAGACGGACGGACGGACGGACATGTGTAAATCGACTCAGAATGTGATTCTATGCAGATCATCAAAAGGAACTATGGGTCTATCTCGTTTCCTTTTACCTGTTACAAACAAATACACAAAAACATAATACTCTGACCACCTTGTGGTGTAGGGTATAAAAATGATGAGTAAAGTAGCTTTTGAGCTGGCCTGTTTTACATTTATTCCGCGTCTTTATGGTTTACACTTCATTTTGGTCCTTTCTTTTCAAAACCATGACTTGTAGTGGCACCTCAATGGCCAGCCAAGTACACAGATAAAATTTAATTTATTATTATTTTTAATTATTTTATTTTATATTTATTTACTAATATATTATTTATTTAATAATTAATTTATTAATTTATTTGTTTCTTTTTTTTCTTTCTTTCATTTTATATCTTGTTTACTTTTTTGCGTCCACATAAACCACAAAAACAACAACAACAAATTTCACATCACCACTTTACATCATCACAGCTGTTGAGCAAACATTGTTGGCATATGGCAATGCCAACGGCACGCAACTTTAAACAGCCGGCCGTCCAGCCAGCAATTAGCATCACCAACAACAACAACAGTAAAATTAACATCACACCATCACTACAACAACTCATAATTGTTAGAGAAAAAAAATTAGCAAAATTTTTTTGATAAAAAAAAGAAATAACTAAATTTTGTTCTAGCACTTAGATGATATATATTTTTTGTAATTGAAGAAGCAATTTTGTGAGGCGTAGATTTTGAAACGCCAGTCTTATGCTTTTCAAAGGTATCTCAATTTTATTTTTTAAATTGTTGAATCCCGGGATATCTGAGAAAAAATAGTGTATTTTGCTTGTTAGGGCAAAGAAAAACAAAAACAACAACAACAACAAGACAATAATTTTAATTTTTATATTAATTTTTAAGTTGTTTGCCTTAGTTTTTAATTAAAATAATTTGTAATGGAACAACTAAACAAAAATTACAGCAGATATCCTCAAAATCAAAAGCAACAAAGCACCACATTACACTTGACACCGTGATTTGCTACCTACCCTAATACACTGCTGTAATACGAACAAGGTGCAACTGATAATTTGAGCCATAATTACTTAAAAAACACAACACTATTCAAAAAATACTATATATGTAATTTTAATATATAATTATACTGAAAAAAAAAACTTAAAACAAACTAAATAAAAATCACAATGACTTAAATATAAATAAATAAAAAAATAAAATTATTTAAATTACAAAACAAAAAAAGAAAACCAGCAATCTATTTTTTAATCATTTTTAAACCTCTTTCTTATAGGAATTTATCCATGTTAATTTTGAGGGAGTACGAAAAACATTTAAATAAATAAGAATGCAAAAAAAAAAAATAAAAAATAAAAACGAATACATGTTTTTAATAAAACAACAAAAATTCAAAACACAACAACAAAATATAAGTATACAACAACAACAACTAATACAACTCTCCACCACCATCCCATCATCAACAAGAAAAAAAAATATATAACTACTTACTACAACTACTACTAATACAAAAACAACAACAAGAAAACAATAATTTCCCCAGCTATAAACAACAATAATTTAATTTTAACAACAAAAATTCAAATACCAACAACATTTACGCCGATGACAACAACAACAAACAAATACCCCCTTCGAATGGAAGTCTATTAAAATGTATTTTGGAAATGAAATTGTTAATGCAAAGCAAATAAACAATAGAATATTGAATTAAAATAAATTAATTATAGAAGAATAGTTAAAGAAAGACAAACGGTGTGAAAGGAATATGAGAAAGGAGAAAGAAAGCATTGATGCCATAAAGAAATATGACAACTTGTTATTTGTTTGTTTGGTGCTGAAAAGACAAAGCAATATCCAAAAATAAAAAAATTAAAATATTTTCTACAAACTATAGAGAAAACTTTGTAGCAATAGCCAATAATAAAAAAATAAACACACAAAAACAGCAACAATTAAAAAATACTTTTAAAAAATAAATACGGTTACAACGTCTAGTATGAACGTTACGACAACCTTACGTTTACGTTGCCAACTGTTAAACTTAACTTTGGGGTTAAACTTGGCTTCTCTTTTCTTGGTGAAGGCAAAAATTTCATTTATACAACCTTTTTTAGATGTAATTCGAAACATTTTAATTGTAATTTGAGAATTCTATTTGCAATTCGAAAATTCCAAATGTAATTCGAATTATTTCAGTTGAAATTAGAGAATTCCAATTGTCATTTGAATTATTCCACTTTGTAATTCGAATTATTCCAATTATAATTCGAAATATTTAATTTGGAATTCGAATTATTCCAATTTTAATTCGAATTATTCCATTTGAAAATAGACGAAAAAATTGAAAAAATTCGAAATACAAATGGAACAATTTGAACTACAATTGGAATAATTCGAATTACAAATGGAACAATGTGAATTATAATTGAAATAATTCGAATTACAATTTAAATAATTCGAATTAGAAATGTAATAATTGGAATTACAAATGGAATAATTCGAAATTAAATAATTGGAATTGCATTTGGAATAATCGAATTACAACTGAAATAATTCGAATTATAATTGAAATTTTACGAATTAAAAGGTGTAGACCCTCATGGTGGCATTAACATAGGAATAAATTGATCTACTAACCTGGCCTAATTTGAGAGTTCTATTGGTAATTAGAATCAATCGTAATCGTGTAATTCGAAAATTCCGATTATAAATCGAATTATTAAAGTTAAAATTCGAGTATTTCAATTGTAATTCGAATTATTCCAATTTGTAATTCAAATTTTTCCATTTGAAAATCGACGAAAAATTAAAATTATTCGAATTACAATTGAAATAATTGGAATTACAAATGAAATAAATCTTATTAAAAATGGAATAATTCGAAATACAAAGAAAACCATTCGAACTACAAATAGAATTCTCGAATTACAATTGAAATAGTCGAATTACAACTGAAATAATTCGAATTACAAATGGAATTCTCGAATTACAAATTTAATTCTCGAATTACAAATGAAATGTTAAATCAAAAATTATTCGAATTGCAACTGAAAAAAGAGTAGACCCTCAAGGTAATATTAGCATAGGACGAAATTAATCTTTTAACCTGGTGTTTACACCGACCAAATTGTCTTGAGCAGGGTTGCTTTTTGCACACATTTTTTTCAATATTTGTTCTTTTGACAAGTCACCCGGATTTTTTTTGCTTTGTAAACCAAGGTATAGCTCTAATTGATTACCACAGTGTTCTGCTAATGCAAACCCCATGGCCGTTTTCTTATAATTCAGAGATTCACAGATTTGCCCACTTTCATTCGTGAGCGAAACTTGTTCGAAGAGTGGATTTTTTTTACGGAATTCTTCTACTCCTCACTGATTTGTTTTCTGTTGGAACACTCACAAATCACTAGTTTTTGAAAAATGAGAGTGGGAGCAGAATCGCTCAAAATAGCGGAAAACAAATATTTTTGGTCTCGATGTTGTTGCGTACTGTAGAAGAGTTGGGAAGAGGAGTGAAGACGGGGTGTATTATTGTATACAGAAAAATACACATACATAGAAATACAACAACGGTATGACAAAAAAAAAACTATACTAAGTGCTCGGCAAGAGTAGAATCTCCTCGATTTTAAACAATTTTGCTCCCACTCAAAAACGAGCAAAATACGTTTGACTTGTATTTCACTAAGCACTTCAAAACGTGATCTTCTCACAGGCTACCAAGTTTTCTTCTAAAGGAAGAACTAAAAGAAACTAAGGAACAAGATGAACGACCTCCCTTAAATAGATCTTACAAATTTACTACTTTATAAGATCACATTGTGAACATATTTAAGTGAGGTCGTGCATCTAGTTCCTTAGTTTCTTTTAGTTCAGTTCAATTTCAGCTCAATCGTTACTGTTCGTTCTGCCGTTCTTTGAAGTAACAGAGGGTCTTTAATTAAACAATGTAAAAACAATTTTTGACTCCCAACTTGTCTTATTTGAAATAAACCGAAATTTTTGGTTCCAACAGGTATTGTTATCAAGTAAAGTTTTGGAAAGGTATATTTTAAAACTGTTATACATTTTTGTCCGACTTATTACAATTATTTTAAATACGTGAGACTTAAGCCCTTTGAAATGGGCTTAAGTCTCACGTATTTTAGTTTAAAAAAGTTTTTAAGCATTTTTATTTCAAAGTATAACAGTTTCTATAAAAGTGTTATACAGGTTCAAAACCATCAGATTTTATTATTTTTGTGAAATGTGAATACAGCAGCAAGGTTTTTACAATTTTTCAGTCATTTTTCTGAGTATAACAGTTTTCAAAAGTGTTCTAAAGTCACCAAAATTTTGGAAAAATGGTAAATACTGATTGATAAATCTCAAAAACTTTTGTCGCCCGTCCATGTAGAAAAAAATCTACAGAATAGTTTTAATAATCTTCTCATTGAACACATATGCATGCTATCTTCCTAAGGCTATGGCTTCTCATAGAAAGAATATATTGGCAGACTTATGGAAGACTAGATCAATATTCCTAAGCATGACTACTCTCTCTGAAAATCCAATTTTTTTTTTTAACTGAAAAAATATGCGATGTCACAAAATTTAATTCACCGAAGAAATCTTCTCCAGAAATTAAAATTTTGACATAAACTTTTGATTAAAAATTCATGAAACTTCGCGATTTGTATGCTCATTAAGCCAAGCAACTTCAAAGCAAAATTGTGTATTGTGAATGAAGGCAGTCTAACACAGGGTTTACAAATTTTTGAGACTGTATATGCAATTTTTAAACGTTAGTTTCGATTGCATTTATTTTCTCCAAGAATTCTTTTTTAGGAACTATAAGTCCTAAGTCATTTTGGACAGAAGTCATCTTTGGAGATTTTGAGAAATTATGTTTTTCCTATGTGTAATATTTCATTATTGGCTATTGACAAAGTTTTTGAATAAATAACTATAATAGGATTTGATCTTTTAGTAAATGAATTATTAACAATGAAATCGACACCTATACTCTTGAATCCTTTCAACACATCTCTAGAGAATATAGAACCGAAACAAGAAAACTTAACAAAAAAAAAAAAACTTCAATAGAAAAATTATACAACAAAGTGAATATTATTTATTGATCAATTATTATATAAATGTACTTATATATACAACTACCCACACAACAACAACAACAAACTAACAAAATAATATTATACTATATACATAACTATACATATATATAGAAAAAGAAAATAAATAAGAAATTGAAAAAAAAAAACAAACAAAAAACTATTTATAAAAATATACATCTTAATATTATATATTATATACATACTAAATAAATATATAATATAGAAACAAAGAAGAAGAAAAAAACAAAACAAATATTGTACTAAGAAAATAAGTCTTAAGGTGCATCTCAAAGAAAGTAAGAAGACAAAAAAATAAACAAAATAAAAGAAAAAAGCACAAAAAAACTAAAACTAAAGACAAAATAAAAATATTTATATTTAAAACAAAAGTAAAAGTAAAATATAACTATATACACAAATTATGAATGGCAAAAGATATAACAAGAAAAGGCATTAAATAAAACATTAAATGGAAATATAAGAAATAAGAAATAAAAACGGCAGAATGCTCTAGGAGAATAACAATAATAGAAAAAAAGTATGAAATAAAATTAAACTACATTTTTAAAATTATACTTAATAATAAAGGAATAACACACACACACACACAAACAAAAATCCCCCTCGAATTGATACTATATGGATAAGTGACAAAAAAATGTGAGAATAAAAAAATAACATAAAACGTACTTACAAATACAACATACACAACAAAATGTATCTACAAAATAAAAAAAATAAAAATAGTAATAATTAAAAAAAATAAAAATAATATTTTTAACCTAAGAGATCTAAGTCTTAAGAGAAAAAAATAAATAAACACAATAAAAACAAACTGAAAACCAACACTCAAAATAACAAATGAAATATTTATTATTAATAAACAAAAATATTTAGTAAAAAAAAAATAAACATGATACAAAAGCAATTTTACAATAACAAAAATATATATATTTATTTATTTTTTAATGTGTGACGAAGAAAAAAATATTTCTTCCATGTGACGTCAAGGTCAAAGAGATGAAAATGGCAAAGAATTTGCCATTTTAACAGATTAATATCTGTTACTCCTGTTTGGAACATTGCCACCAATATGTATCCTCCCTTTTTACCCACCCTTCTACATAATGAAAGACCAAATGTTTGGTGGCCAAAGAGCATTGTTGTTTTGTTTGGTCTGTGGTTCAGGATCCAATGTAATGTAATCATAAATCACACAGAAGGCGAATTATCACAGGCAAGAGATGTTTTATCTTGATAGTGTTTCAAAATTTATAAGAATTGAAAAGTGAGTAACCGCAATCGTCATCGAGTTCTGTTTCGTATAGAGAAACATTTCGATAGCTGTACATTTTTGCATCACCGCACTCGATTGTAATTTACTTTGTCTACTACTTTTTTTTACATTGCTGTAAACATATGGTAATAAGAAATTGGAAGCGAAAGATAATTTCAAAATAAGTTTCGGTGATCAAAATATTTTATTTCTGAGAAATGTATACTTTTTATGTGTTAAATGTTTGTTCGAATTCAGAGGATGAGAACAAAGTGGCATTAATAAGGAAAAATATTCGTGACAAAAGCAGTCTTTTAGCATTGTCTAAACTAGAGTAAGTGATTCTATTTTGAAGTGAGTGCTTCCAACTAATTGTGCTTTTAACATCCATAGATTTGAAAGATTTTAAGTCGGGATGCTCCAACGTAAATTGAGCCAATATCCCTTACTGCTTTGCAGTGACTTTGTTACAGTTTTTTTCGTTTGAAGTGGCTGAGCTGACTGAGCATTCATTTCTTTGATCCGTTTTACTAAATGAAAGTAATATTATAGTTTCTTAAATCTAATTTGACAAAATAGAAAAAAAAAAAACATATTTCCACCAACTTTTTGTTTACATTTTTTCCGCGTAAAAATCACCACATACTTTGTTTTCGATAACACACTACCTAGCGTGTACAACTTCGAGAAGAAACAATTCGATAACGGCTGCAGTGATCCGCGTAAATTTACATCACGATGCCGAAGTACTCGATTTTGACTAAGTTAATTTGGCCACTGACTTTGAGTTATATAAATAAATATTTCCCAAATACATTAAGATACCCATGGTACAATAAGGAGGTAGAACAGCTTCGTAAAACTACAGAAATACAGCCCTGAGGCTATGCCCGCTTTCTGTCAAACTCATTCAAAATTTTATATTTTCATTTTTTCATACTTTTCCTCATATTTTCTCTCAAAAACATGATCCAAACTGTTCAATCTTTCAATTTCATGGCTAAGCTGGTTAATAACTTTAATACGCGAGCCGCAATGTACATGTCTTCAAATCATTGGTTTTGAAAATATTATTTTTCATTTTCAAAACAATAAATACATACACAAAATTGGCAGAAGTCGGGCACACTTAGAAAAAAATTGTAAACAGCTGATAGCTCTACCTTACATTTTTATTTTACCACGAAGATACCAAAAAAGAACAAAATAAATACATAAAAACTATCTTTTTATTCAAAAAAAAAAAAAAAAAATCTCAGCTGTGCTTATTCTAAAACCCCTAGGAAATTTATATTTTACAACATACGCTAAGTTAAAAAGATATGATTAAAAGCTATCCAAAACTTCTAGGTAAGTTGGTCAACAGTCGACTCTCCTGGATATTCCATAGCACAACATGGTTTTTTTTAACGGCAGGTCAGCCTGTTCAAATGTAGCTCTTTTTAGCACTTTTACGTGCTCTACACGGATTTTAGTAAGGCGTAGCAATGCCTCAATACAATATGTTAATTGCTAAACTCAAAAAGATAGGGATACATTCTTGGAATTCATTGTCTGACACAATCTGGCTTTTGCCAAGGTAGCGTAAGGTTGCTAAATGTTTACTTTAGGCAGATGACATAAAACTGTTCTATGAAGTTTGTTCCTTTGCAGATTGCATAAAATTTCAATAAGACATCAACATTTTTTTTAAATAGGTTTCATGTTAATAAACTTTTGTTAAATTTTTCTAAGTGCAAAGAAGTGACTTACACTCACAAGAACCCATTCCCATTGCACAGTGGTCGAGGTTGTATGGGAACAGCGGCCAAAAATACTTCCAGTGCAGATATCAATATGAATCTTTGGATATGGTACATTGATGGGATAAAAATAAAAAATGTGGCAAAATGTCGATATGGTCGAGACATGTTTTGGCATGGTCCCCTTACAACGTACCTCCCGAATAAGGGTTATTTGCCCAATTTTCGTCACATTTCTACACTAGATTGTTCTGTTATTTGACATTTTACGTTTTAAAGAGCTAAAAAATAGTCTTACTGAAGATTATTTGGAACGGCCCGCCTTCAGGTAGAGTCCCCCTGTAAAGGTACCTCCAAAAATAGAAGTATTTTTATACAAATCAATTCCAAATTTGATTATTTTTTTTGTAAACAAAATAGACAATGTTTTTGTAAACAAAATAAACAATTCAATATAAAATTAAATCAAAGTTACTAATGGATATGTATAAATTTCAGTGTTATTCAAGTAAAGCAAATGCAGATTTTAATAATATACATATTTTATTGCTTGGTAACGTTCATAAGATCTGTGTTGGTTGAAACACGAGAATTTTTTCTGGTATGACTTAGTCGAAACATTTTTATATATTTGTTGCCAGACTTCGTGGCCTCACTATAATTCTCCAATCGATACAATGACATATTTTATAATGTCGGGAGCATGTATTAGTTTTATGAACTGTGGGTGTAAGATAGTGTAATGGATATCTATTTTTTAACTGTTTAGCAGTTTCCAGTGTAAAGTCCTTAAATTTTTCGACGTTAATATGGCATCCAGAAGTCAATCCTTGTAACAAATGATGAACACCTCTCATTTACATCTTTATCAATCCAAACAACAAAAACATATTCTATGTCATTAGCACCATAGAATTGACAAAATTGCAGCGAAGTCACTTCAGTATATTGGGCATAACATACAAATCTGACAAAATCTGAAAGTTAAATTAGCACTTCAGGAATCTGAGGCGTGAAAAAAATCATATTGGAGAATTAAGGGGGGAAGAGAACTAAAACTTTAACTGAAATCCAATTTTATTTTCAAAATTAATCTTAAAAGCAACTCAGAACACTGACATCGTCTATATTATACCCAACTACTAAACACACAAATTACTGCACTAAGTCAATAATAAGTCAATACCTTGCTTTTCAATAATTATACCAAGATTTGTCATTTTAAAATGTATGTAATTTTGTAATACAGATCTAGTTTTACTCCACTTTTTCGCTGATCCCACTGAAAAAAGCAACTAACTACATTTTCTCTTTTTTGATGCTATTCTCGAAGTGGGCCGTTAGAATGAAGCCAAGATTATTATGTTTTCTAAAAAGCTTAACCTCTTAAGAGTTCATGTGTACACATTTGATAGTAAATATATGATTTTCATTTTTTGAATTTTAGCTAATGGCAGCGACCACTGTGCATTGTACAGGGTTGCCCATATTCGACGGACCTTTGGGCCCATTCCAATCGACGAGGCTTGTCCGCAGGCAACATTCTTTGCGTCAATTGCGAATAATCCGTTGTAAAGTGGACCGAGCCATGCCCAACTGTTGAGAACGGCGTTTTTGGGATGTTCTTGGAGACCTCTCAGCACTGGCTCGTACGGCAGCGATATTCTCGGCCGATCGCCTTGGCCGACTTTTATATGGCCTCTTCGGATTAGAAAGAGCCTTAGAAGGCGCACTTCTCACATTTTTTAATGTTTTAAAAGCACGTTGAGTTTTCACAATTGACTTCTTCTGTTGAATGTAAATTTCATAGCGCTCGCATGGCGTGTATTGGTTCCTGGTAAAAATCTGCTTGAACTGACGCTTCAAACGCGGTATGTCATTAAGCGATGTGACATCTCTGTCAAAAGTTATGGCGTTGCCAGATGGATCCGTCGAATATGGGCGACCCTGTATATAAATACAGTATACAATTCTGCTACGGATTTCATTATAGAAAACTTAACTAACAATTTGGGTATATTTTTCGTTTAAACATCATATGGAGTATACGATCTCGAAATCTTCGGTTCTTTAAAGTGAATTCTAAGGTGTTCTCAACGAATACATTAAAATACATTTTGGGAGTCTGTTTAGGTTCTATATTGAAGATTTATCAATTATTTGGTATCCATATTACATTGAAGGAATAAACAGAATTGAAAGAATTCAGAAACGTTCTACAAGGTTTGATTTAAGAAGGACTTATAAAGGTGGCGATCGTAAAATGTATAGCATTTTCTGATAGGAGATTACTTTTGCGCCACCTTGTATAATAGCTGATCTGATGATGAGAGCTGCAAAACTACTTATTGAGACTAATATTTCACCCCCTAGCTTACGAGTGAATAGCTCACAACATTCAACAGCTGACTTTATTCAAAAAGGTTTATAGCGCGTTTACTTAAAAAAAATGTACCCGCGTTAATTGACCAATCATAATAAATTTAAAATATGTTTTCTATTGGCAAATTTATTGTCATTGGCCAATTATCAGGATTAATCCGGTATGTAAATGCGCGATAAATGTGGTTTAGTGTAAATTCACTTTTAAGATAAACGAATAGAGAACTAGACGACAAAACACACTATTCGCCCTTACTACCAAATTCGCTGACTACCAAATATAATGTCAAAATCATTATTGTGATTGAAATGATAGAACAAAAAAATAAATAATAGTCAAAAATATTTAAACAATTACATCTGGTTTTTAAAATTTGCAGGAACACCTTGTTATTGCGGCATGGTGTTTTCAAGTCAATTTAATAAATTAGTTGAAGAGTTCCAAATGATTTTAAGGTGCAATGGGAAAATGTTTCCCAAGTGCAAAATCAGTCGCCAAAGAGATCTAGTGATGAAAATAAAATTATATCTAAAGAAAAATAAGT